CGGTTTCCCTGAATCCCTTCCTAAATATTTCCCTGCCACACTCCAACAGATCGAGGGCCCAAGTACCATTCGTCTCCATTCACTCCTACTAACACGCTCACGCACGCTTGCTGGAAGTCCAACCCCTTTCCCCAAAACCCCCCTTTACCTCCCCTCTCCAAAACCTTTCGAGGACGACCCCTACCCCGCCTTTCCCTTTCCCCCATAGATTTATTGCTTTTCCCTGTCTTCACTTTGACCATTCTTCTAAATGCCAAACCACCCCAAAAAACCCCCCTTCGCCCCTGACTAATTTTTTTTTTAAAATCCACACCTTTTCCTAATTTCCACACTCCGAATTTTTTTGCAAATATTTACACCAACATTGCCCCTTAAACAGGGCACCCACTCCTCCAACCGTCTCCCCCGCTGCTGCATTTTCCCCCAACTTCACACCCCTATAAGAGTGTTTTGGGACTACTTACTTTTATACATTACCTTCTTTGCCCCATAGATAACGTTTTTGATTCCCCAAAATACCTCAATGCACCACTAAACCTTTTTTCCCTCACAATTCTATGATTAACCCCCTCCCTTATAAAATTCCCGGCCGACACTCAACTCCCAAAATTGAAACATTCACTTTTCCATACTCCTCCTCCCCAAATTTGATATCCAATTTTTCTTTATCTAAATCATTTGACACCCTCATCACTTACTTTTTCTATGTCACTTTTTAACTTTTCTACCTTTTCACACATTCCCAAATTTATCCCCTAACCCTTTGCAATTTTTCTTTAGAATCTCCCATAAGCACAGTATCATCCAAAAAGTAAATGGTCAATTTCCCCCTTTAATTTTTTTCCCCAAAATTAATCCCACCCCCTTTCCCCCAAACCTAATTTACTTCCTTTTAAAACCCCATCTATAAATTTTTTAAAAAAACCATGGTGACATCACACCCTGTCTAAACCTCTTTTACCGGGGAATGTCTCCCTCTCTTCTACACACCCCAACCTAGCCTCACTTCCCCATAAAAAAACTTTACAGCATTTAAAAACTTTGGGCCCATTCCATTATTGCAACATCTGCCACATTGCTTCCCCATCCCTCAACATAGCCTTTTCTAAATCCCTAAAAAGCAATAAAAACTTCCCTATCTTTATCTAAAACTGTTTACATATATGCTTCAATGTAAACACCGATCAAAATCCCCCACCCCTCTGAAACCTCCTTGCTCATCCGCAATCCACATTCTGTCTTAACCTCAATTTATTCAATTTAAAACCCACGTAACTGTTCCTGGAACCCGTAAACTTATTCCCCTATAATTTTTCAGCTCTTTTGTCCCCTTTTCCCTTTATATAAAGGGGCTATACATGCTCTCCGCCAATCCCTAGGTACCCCCCCCCTCTTTCATACTTTTATTAAAAAAAAAGTACCAACCACTCCAACATATACCCCCCCCGCTTTTAACATTTTTGTCATGACCCATCAGTTCCAGGCTGCTTTACCCCCTTTTATTTACGAAGCCTCACTACCTCCACCACACTTAATTCTTTTCCTCCTTCACTCCCAAAAGATGGATGCCTCAAGGCCGGCTGAAATTACCGCCTCCCTTTTTCCCAACATTTAAAAGTTCCCAAAAATTCTCCGCCATCTACCTATACCTCCCTTTCCCCATCACAACTCCCCACTCTGTTTTTAAACGGGGCAAAAACCATACTTTCCCTAGGCTTTTTTAAATTTTTTAACTCACTCCCAAAATTTTTTCTTATTTTTTATTAAAATTTAAACTCCCCATTTTAAAAAAAAAAAAAAAACCCCCGGCACCCCAAATTTAACCTACTATCCCTCCCTAACATTTTTACCCCCTTTAGCATTGAATCCCCAACCCCCATTACCTTTACACTTGATTCAAAACTCCCCCTTACTCAACATTTCCCCAAACTCTCCCTCCTCTACACTTCTCCTTCTCCAGGGGCAAACGTTACTATAACCCCCTTTTCACATCAATCTTATTTTACTCCAATAACCTTTAAATTTTTTCATTTTTAGTCCCTCTTTTTTCCCCCATACGTATCCTTCAACATTATTGCTTTTTTCTTTAGCTCAACCTATTTGAAACCCCTACCCAATCCCCTTTATTTTCCTCCCTTGAAACTCCCCACCCCCTTTTCTTTGTTTCACTTTAAAGGACTCCAGTTTCTTCTCATTTATAAAATCCACAATCATTCTTTCTTATCATTGCACAACATCCAACCATTCAGACTTCCCACTTTGACAATTTTTTTCTTATTATTATTCTTCTTTTCTTATTTTTTTTTTAGATAATATATAAATATAATATATATATATTTAAAATATATATATTATATTTTATATATATATATATTTATAAATATTTTAAAGGGGTTTTTTTTAGAATATATTTAAATACTAAATTATAATATAAATATTAATATTAAATAAAAAATTAAATATATAATATAAAATAATTTAATTTTTTTTTTTATATAATAGGGAAGTACCCTTAAGCTGGAAAGGGGACCCCATCCTCAGAGGACAATAACGACCTCAGAGAAAACCAAGGTTCTCCCCGGGGCTGTTTTTAATATTTTCTTTCCCCCCCACCCCCCTAATTTTTTAAAATTCATTTCATTTTTTAAAAAACAAAAAACATTTTTCGAATAAAAAAAAAAACAGAATACAAGGCACAATGTATCAAAATGATAATTTCCTCCCGCCCTCCCAGGCTGGACGTGAGCCAAGTATGCAGCAAACATTTTTCCCCCCGGATGGCGACGCTGAGGCTCGCCCCTTTCTTTCTTTTTTTTTTTTTCTTTTTTCTTTCTTTCTTTTTTTCTTTCTTTCTTTCATTTCTTTTTTCTTTCTTTCCCTTTTTTTCTTTCCTTCTTTTTTCTTTTTCTTCTTTCTTTCCCAAACCTTTTCCCTTTCTTTTTCTTTTTTTTCGCCCCTTTTTCCCCCTTTTTTTTCTTCAAACCCTGGCTTGGAAAATCCCACCCCCTGGAAAAAAAAAAAAATTTTTTTATTTTAATTTAAATTTTAAAATTAAAAAAATTTTATTTTATTTATTTTTTAAAAATTTAAAAATTTTTTTAATTATTTAATTTATTTTTATATTATTTTTAATAAATAAAAATTCATTTTAAAAAAATTTAAAATTTTTAATATTTTTAAATTTTTTTATGTACAATATTTTTTTTAATTTATTTTTTAATTTTTGGGTTTTTTAAATTTTATATTTTTTTTAAAAATTTAAATTTTATGAAAACCCAAATTTTTAATAAGTAAAATGCAGGGGAAGCCCTTTTTAATTAAAACCCTGAAAAATGATCTGAAATGTTTTGTACAAAAAAAAATTTTTAAAAGGTTTAGGTTTTTGGTCAATGCATAATATTAAAGAATGTGTGTGGTTTAGTGTGGCTGGCTGTCCGTACACCTCCACTAAGCATGACATTATTTGACCTCTCGCATAGCTCATAAAAAAAATGTACAGCCAATTCAGATGTGTGAAAGTTGCTGGAGAGTTAACCCTTTGGGGGTCGACAGGTCCTCTCAGAGACTTGTTCTCAGGGTCGGCCAAATTTAAAAAAAAAAATTTCTTATGAAAAGATAGAGAATCTTTTCCCGATCATAATGACACCAAAAGTATGAAATTTGATGGAAAACTTACGGAATTATGCTCTCGCGAAGTTAGCGGTCTCAACGATGTTTACGCATCGGTGATTTTGCCCACTTTGAGCCCTATTTTCGGCCAATTCCAGTGTACTAGTAGACAAAAATCATAACTATTTCACTAAAACTCCATTTTTTCTATCGAATGAGTACAAGAAACCACCCATTTACCTATTTCAACTATCCAATAAAGTGGTCAGAATTTAGCAATTTTGCCAATTTCACACAAATTTCAAAAGACGCCAATTTCCGAATAGAGTCCAGAATAAACAAGAAAGACATTCCTGGCACTAAAATAACAAGTTCTCTGTTCGTTAGTCACATCCCCAGGCCCCTCTTATATTTCTTTGGCTTTCCACTTTGAATTTTTATTCTTACAAAAAAAAATATGATTTACTGTTATGCAGGCTACTGCATTAGTGTAGAAATGGTATAAATAATATCAGCGCACTTGTGAAAGAATATTAGACTCACTAGTTGATGTGTATTGGAAGCTTGGCATGATTTGTTTACTTTTGAACTTTGGTAAAAATCGAACATTTCTGCTACTTTGAGCTCAATTTCAAGGTACTTTTCATTGTAAAACCAGTCAAAATCATCTCAATTTCTGTAATATGTCTTCCATTCTATAAAATGAGACCAAGAAAACTAGAATACAATAATAAATACCATACGAAAATACAGTGCAAAGTCGCTGTTTTAATCCAAACACACGGTCCAAGTGAGCTGCAGGATTTTTTTTATACTGCACACACACACACTGACCACATAGACCCATTTCTTACATGTGTAGGCCTACCAGCTTTCTCTCTAGATTTGAGGGCGCTAGAATTTAGGCGTACTAGTACGTCAAAAACCCTGGTGTGTAAGCCGTACTAGTACGTCTGAAACCTCCAAAGGGTTAAATCTGCATAATCTCACATTTTCACTTAGACTGATTCAAGCCAGAGACCACAGCCACATTCAAACACAGCTTTAATCAGGTCATTTGGTCAAAAAATAAAGAGGCAGGGGTCAAGATCCATAGAAAGTTTTAAATAGCAACTTGCATATTTAGACCAAGACAAGAAAATTATTCAACTTGATATTTTTAAATTGTGATTATGTGTCTTGTGTGTGTGTGTGTGTGGCTATCATACAAAAATTTAAGAAGGCAGTTAATCATCCCTCTGAAGTTGCAAATTTTAATTTTAATTTTCTAGAGACTCTTCTGATGGTGGACAGCAGGGATGTTCCAGAGTGTGGGGCTCCAAGTCAAAGATTACTGCTCTTGTGTGCATATGATAGTCACAGTAATATTCAGATTATTTCATTCCCCTTAGGTACCACATTGAACTTGTTAACCTACTGGCCGACTTGACTGAAGGCAAGAACGTTTACACGGAGATTAAATGTCACAGTCTTATTACACTTGATGACATTGTATCGGTTGTGACACATCCTGAGTGTATTATTGAGGTATTGTAACTGTTACACTGATAGATGTTATAGTGATGAACAGTTTCTGGTGTATTTATTTATCTTTAATAACAATAGTTTATATATGATTTAATGTATTGTTCTTGCTGCATTGCACATTTTCTTTTTTTTTTTTAAGGAAATTTCTGCAGCAAGTTTTTAATGTATATAATAAATTTATTATGTTTAAGGTTAAAGATTGACTTGCAAATAAGAAAATTAATATCTTCACTTTAGAAAATCCTCTTTAAGATTTGCTTGTCTAAGCTTACTGGATTTTGTAATAACTCTTGCTATATACCTTACACATGCTACAAGGTCTGAAAGCTTTATCTTTTAGTGTTTTCATTTTTTTCTGAAATAAAAGCTTTAGTTACTTATAAAGTTGTCTGAGGATTTTTTATTGAGGATATTTTTTCCACTGAATAATTGTTGTTGCCAGAATGTTGTCCATGGCTGTTGAATTGCTATTCTGTGTTTAACTTGTTGTTTTAGCTTAGATACATGTCTTTTAACTGTCTTTTACTGCCATGTGACTAATTTATTTATTGTCTCTTAGATGTCATGTTGTCTGTTGTAGGAAATCTTAATAGCTTTTATAAAATTGTAATTTGTTTTTTAACACACTGGCTGTCTCCCACTGAGATAGGGTGACCAAAAAAGAATAACTTTTCATCATCATCATTCACTCTTATCACTGTTTTGCCAGAGATGTACAGATATTATAGTTCAGATGCCCCTCCAAACTGCAAATATCTCCACCCCTCCTTTAGGGTACAGGCACTGTATTTCCTATCTCCAGGACTCGAGTCCGGCTAACTGGTTTCCCTGTATCTCTTCACAAATGTTACCTTGCTCACACACTAACAGCTCATCAAGTCCCAAAAACCATTTGCCTTCCCTCCTATGGTACACACTCACACATACTTGCTGGATGTCTAAGCCTCTCACACAAAACCTCCTTTACCCCTTCCCTCCAACCTTTCCTAGGGCAACCCCTTCCCTCCACTACAGATTTATACACCCTCTAAGTCATAATATTTTGTTATACCCTCTCTAAATTTTCAAACAACCTCAATAACTCCACCTCAGCCCTTTGGATAATACTTTTAGTAACTCTCCATCTCCTAATCTCCAAGCTACACATTCTCTGCATAATATTTACTCCACAAACATTGATCTCTACATGACATCTCCGCTTCCTCCAGCCTCCTCCTCACTGCAACATTCATAGTCCATACTTCACTCCCATATAAGACTTGGTATCACTTTATTCTCATACATTCCACGTTTTGCCTTCATGGATTACGTTCTTAGTCTCTTTAGATACCTCAGTGCACTATCCACATTTTTCCCCTCATCACTTCTATGGTTCACCTCATCTTTCATAGGCCCATCCTCCAACAAGTCAACTCCAAAATACTTGAACATGTTCACTTCATCCATTATTCAATCTGATATCCAATCTTTCATTACTTAAACTGTTTCCCCTCATCACATATTCTTTCCTATCTTCACTTTTAATTTACTTCAGTTACATATTTATTTATTTTTTTTTTTTTTATTATCACACCGGCCGATTCCCACCAAGGCAGGGTGGCCCGAAAAAGAAAAACTTTCACCATCATTCACTCCATCACTGTCTTGCCAGAAGGGTGCTTTACACTACAGTTTTTAAACTGCAACTTAACACCCCTCCTTCAGAGTGCAGGCACTGTAATTCCCATCTCCAGGACTCAACCCGGGCCTGCCGGTTTCCCTGAATCCCTTCATAAATGTTACTTTGCTCACACTCCAACAGCACGTCAAGTATAAAAACCATTTGTCTCCATTCACTCCTATCAAACACGCTCACGCATGCTGCTGGAAGTCCAAGCCCCTCGCACACAAAACCCCTTTACCCCCTCCCTCCAACCCTTCCTAGGCCCACCCCCTACCCCGCCTTCCTTCCACTACAGACTGATACACTCTTGAAATCATTCTGTTTCGCTCCATTCTCTCTACATGTCCGAACCACCTCAACAACCCTTCCTCAGCCCTCTGGACAACAGTTTTGGTAATCCCGCACCTCCTCCTAACTTCCAAACTACGAATTCTCTGCATTATATTCACACCACACATTGCCCTCAGACATGACATCTCCACTGCCTCCAGCCTTCTCCTCGCCTGCAACATTCACACCCACGCTTCACACCCATATAAGAGCGTTGGTAAAAATATACTCTCATACATTCCCCTCTTTGCCTCCAAGGACAAAGTCTTTGTCTCCACAGACTCCTAAGTGCACCACTCACCTTTTTCCCTCATCAATTCAAAGATTCACCTCATCTTTCATAGACCCATCGCTGACACGTCCACTCCCAAATAAACTGAAATAAAGTTCACCTCCTCCATACTTTTCTCCCTCCAATCTGATATTCAATCTTTCATCACCTAATCTTTTTGTTTCCTCATAACCTTACTCTTTCCTGTATTCACCTTAATTTTCTTCTTTTGCACACCCCTACCAAATTCACACCAATCTCTGCAACTTCTCTTCAGAATCTCCCAAGAGCACAGTGTCATCAGCAAAGAGCAGCTGTGACAACTCCCACTTTGTGTGTGATTCTTTATCTTTTAACTCCACGCCTCTTGCCAAGACCCTCGCATTTACTTCTCTTACAACCCCATCTATAAATATATTAAACAACCACGGTGACATCACACATCCTTGTCTAAGGCCTACTTTTACTGGGAAAAAATTCCCCTCTTTCCTACATACTCTAAACTTGAGCCTCACTATCCTCGTAAAAACTCTTTACTGCTTTCAGTAACCTACCTCCTACACCATACACTTGCAACATCTGCCACATTGCCCCCCTATCCACCCTGTCATACGCCTTTTCCAAATCCATAAATGCCACAAAGACCTCTTTAGCCTTATCTAAATACTGTTCACTTATATGTTTTCACTGTAAACACCTGGTCCACACACCCCCTACCTTTCCTAAAGCCTCCTTGTTCATCTGCTATCCTATTCTCCGTCTTACTCTTAATTCTTTCAATTATAACTCTACCATACACTTTACCAGGTACACTCAACAGACTTATCCCCCTATAATTTTTGCACTCTCTTTTATCCCCTTTGCCTTTATACAAAGGAACTATGCATGCTCTCTGCCAATCCCTAGGTACCTTACCCTCTTCCATACATTTATTAAATAATTGCACCAACCACTCCAAAACTATATCCCCACCTGCTTTTAACATTTCTATCTTTATCCCATCAATCCCGGCTGCCTTACCCCCTTTCATTTTACCTACTGCCTCACGAACTTCCCCCACACTCACAACTGACTCTTCCTCACTCCTACAAGATGTTTATTCCTCCTTGCCCTATACACGAAATCACAGCTTCCCTATCTTCATCAACATTTAACAATTCCTCAAAATATTCCTTCCATCTTCCCAATACCTCTAACTCTCCATTTAATAACTCTCCTCTCCTATTTTTAACTGACAAATCCATTTGTTCTCTAGGCTTTCTTAACTTGTTAATCTCACTCCAAAACTTTTTCTTATTTTCAACAAAATTTGTTGATAACATCTCACCCACTCTCTCATTTGCTCTCTTTTTACATTGCTTCACCACTCTCTTAACTTCTCTCTTTTCTCCATATACTCTTCCCTCCTTGCATCACTTCTTACTTTGTAAAAACTTCTCATATGCTAACTTTTTCTCCCCTTACTACTCTCTTTACATCATCATTCCACCAATCGCTCCTCTTCCCTCCTGCACCCCACTTTCCTGTAACCACAAACTTCTGCTGAACACTCTAACACTACATTTTTAAACATACCCCATACCTCTTCGACCCCATTGCCTATGCTCTCATTAGCCCATCTATCCTCCAATAGCTGTTTATATCTTACCCTAACTGCCTCCTCTTTTAGTTTATAAACCTTTACCTCTCTCTTCCCTGATGCTTCTATTCTCCTTGTAATCCCATCTACCTTTTACTCTCAGTGTAAGCTACAACTAGAAAGTGATCTGATATATCTGTGGCCCCTCTATAAACATGTACATCCTGAAGTCTACTCAACAGTCTTTTATCTACCAATACATAATCCAACAAACTACTGTCATTTCGCCCTACATCATATCGTGTATACTTATTTATACCTCTTTTTCTTAAAATATGTATTACCTAAACTAAACCCCCTTTCTATACAAAGTTCAATCAAGGGCTCCCATTATCATTACACCTGGCACCCCAAACTTACCTACCACACCCTCTCTAAAAGTTTCTCCTACTTTAGCATTCAAGTCCCCTACCACAATTACTCTCTCACTTGGTTCAAAGCTCCTATACATTCACTTAACATCTCCCAAAATCTCTCTCTCTCCTCTGCATTCCTCTCTTCTCCAGGTGCATACACGCTTATTATGACCCACTTCTCGCATCCAACCTTTACTTAATCCACATAATTCTTGAATTACACATTCATATTCTCTTTTCTCCTTCCATAACTGATCATTTAACATTACTGCTACCCCTTCCTTTGCTCTAACTCTCTCAGATACTCCAGATTTAATCCCATTTATTTCCCCCCACTGAAACTCCTACCCCCTTCAGCTTTGTTTCGCTTAGGGCCAGGACATCCAACTTCTTTTCATTCATAACATCAGCAATCATCTGTTTCTTGTCATCCGCACTACATCCACGCACATTTAAGCAACCCAGTTTTATAAAGTTTTTCTTCTTCTCTTTTTTAGTAATTGTATACAGAGAAGGGTTACTAGCCCATTGCTCCCGGCATTTTAGTCGCCTCATACGACACGCATGGCTTACGGAGGAAAGATTCTTTTCCACTTCCCCATGGACAATAGAAGAAATAAAAAGAACAAGAGCTATTTAGAAAAAGGAGAAAAACCTAGATGTATGTATATATATATATATATGCATGTGCGTGTCTATGAAGTGTGACCAAAGTGTAAGTAGGAGTAGCAAGATATCCCT